AGCCTTGATATAGTCTAGCAGGGTTAGAAATGTAACTTGCCTGTCATCCATTTTCATGCGAATATCCTCTGAAATTTTTAAAATTGCTGTCATACAACTACGCGTTTTCCGAAAGCCATGTTGTCGTGTATTCAACAGTGAGTTATCGTGAAGATACAAATTAATTTGAGTGGAGACTAGGCGCTCAAATTCTTTGGATAGAAAGGAAAGTATGGATATCGGTCTATATTCACCCTTTATTTTTGGTATAGGAAGTACTTTGGCTGTCTTCCAGCATGTTGGAAATGTCGAAGATGTTATTGCTGTATTAAAAATGTGTGTTATATATGGAAGTAGCTTGGGGACAAGGATTAGTAAAAATTTTGGATGTATATTATCGAGACCCATTGCACTTGATTTTATATTTAACATGGACTGTAGGACATCACACTGACTCACACAAACAAAACTAAAGGGTGTATGACATTTGCTGGCTGAAGTCCGAGTGATAATAGTTCTGCGCAGAGACTAGTATCAGTTAAAAGGTCACTGTTGAAATCACCGGTTAATACAACATTTTTGTATGTCCATGTTAGGGCAGTCAGATTGCCAAGTAGATCTGAGTAGCTAGTAGTACGATGTGGTCTATAGGCACAGCCAATAAGAATGTTTTGAGAATTTGTTCCTCGTACTTCTACAAATAAGTATTCTATTGCACTCTCTAGCTCTTGCTGACGTATAACTTTACATTTTAATTGTTTACGGACAAAAATAGCAACACCGCCGCCATGATTTACTCTATCAGAACGAAACAGATTGTAATCAGCACAACGAAGATATGAACTACTGATATCGGACGTGAACCAAGCTTCGGAAACACAGATGACATCGACTTTTGAATTTTCGAATAGGTACTGAACTCATCGATTTTATTAGTCAGACTTTGCGCATTTATGTGACATATTTTCAGACCAGGAGTTTGTTTAAAAAGAATTCTGATCAATGCATGGCTGTTAGGGTTTTGATTAGGCTCGATTGCAGACATAAGTAAAAGAAGAATAAGTATTTTGAAGTGCTAAGACCTGGAACACACACACAGTACCACACATAATATAATAAAAATACAAATTGCAATTGAAAGTAAATATAAATATATCTAATAATACCTTAAAATGAACATATAGAACATTTAGATGAACTGCATTAACGAAATAAATTAGGTGTCGCTCCATCCTTCGTAGAGTCAGTTTCAGCAGGTGTCTCATGCCGATAAGGATTAATGTCGGTAAGGGCCTTCATGTTCCCAATGCATAGGACCTGATCACTGCCCGTCTTCTTTACGTGAACCATTGCTCGACGAGTGAAGACAGCCAATAGGACCTTCTGACGCTTCATGTGCATGGCTGCTTTAAAAATCTCATAGTTGGTTTTAGTCAGCTGTTCGTTCAGATAGATTGGAGTGGTCGAATCTATGCCAACGTAACTTAGAGAAAGTTGGCTTTTCGTTTCACGCCGTAGTGCACCCACGGTACGCATTAGGTTAACCTTGTCCTCAAGTCTATCAAACTTGATCATTATAATTGGGTCAACTATAGAACCACCGTTCCTAGAGGGTTTCATCCGGAATATATCTCGAATTCTTGGGGTGGGGGTAACTTTAAGGTTAAAGCAAAGGGTGTGAAACAATGCCCTCACATCTTCGCCTTGATTAAATGGTACCCCATGAAGGCGGAGTTCACAAGCTACCCTTTCATTTTGCTGCAGCTCAGATGCCGACCTTAGGCGATTGACTTGGTCTCGCAAGCCCCGGATTTCGGCAACCTCACTCTCCAAACGCTCAACTCTCTTCAAGATTTCCGACATATCACTGTTAATAGCGTCCAGCGTAACAGTAATTTTGGTCGTAATGCGATTCTCCAGTTCAGCCATATGGTTTTTAAAGAAATCAGTTTGCTCAGCAAACTTCTGGCTTATTTTTTCCCAAAGCCCATCTGTTGGAGAACTTAACTCAGTGGAAGTTTTTTCCCTGGTTCTTTTTGCTGGCGGTTGTGGCATGTTTAGGCAGTTAGAATTTAAAATGGTTTGGCGAAAAATAAGCTAGCTGCTACAGCACGAACTCTTTTAGCAGTCACACTTCTGCGGTGGTGTGATCGTGCCGTGTGAATGGTGACAACAGCTGACCTGGTCCACCTCTAGTTTTTGGCTTACTTTTGACACGCTTTCTGGCTCAAGAGAGTTTTCCGCCTTTTTGCCGTTTTTCACCGTGTTTGCGACGATTTGAGTGGTCTTCGGAATATGAGTAGTTTTTGCGAAGCGAAGAAAATAGTTTTGTTTTACCACAATCAGCAACGATACGGGAGAACCATCAGAATGTGCAGACGACTTAGGCTCCGGGACGATTTGTTGAAGCTTATTGTTGGTCGTAACAGTAGCGGGAACTCAGAAAAAACGAGTCAACACGGAGCTTGAGGTGTAGCACGTCTTTCCCTTTTACTTGTTTCTGTTGTTGTTGTATTGTATTTTGTAAAGTGAGGTAATTTTTCAGTCACGTTTATATTTTGTTTAGTGTAATTTTTCGGAATATATTTAAATCAAATAAAAACAACCATCAACATACAAAAGTTCTGATATCAACATTTGTGACGAAAAATTATTACACTCGTCATTAAATAGACTTTCACATTCGGCCCGCCCTAGCAAACTATTCCAGCCTTTTTCCCTTCACAGGCATTTTCTATTGCAGCGTGCCGAATGAGAAAATATTAGAAAGTCTATTTAATGACGAGTGTAATAATTTTTCGTCACAAATGTTGATATCAGAACTTTTCTATGTTGATGGTGCGTTCGTCACTAGTTTTTTACCTCGTTAAGAGGTGTTTTTATTTGATATCAGAAGTTTTTATTTGTTTACTTTTGCTCTCATAAGTGCTAATATAAACATTTAAATTTAAATTGGTCATAAATCATAATTTTTAAACTATTGTATTTTAACGAATTAATTTAAAAAGGCGTTGAAGTATTTTAAAATACCTTTTAAACGAGGTATAGCACATGTCTGTACCTTTAGTAGTGTAGAACTTACTAACGAAATGTAGCTATTTTTAGCTTTTTCCCGCTAAAGTAGCGGCTTTTTCCAAAAGTCGTAGAACAAAAGATTCTTATATGGAACTCTTAAGTGCAAATTTACTGATTCCATGACCCTAAAATACAGTTCGGATACCCTCACACAAAATTCAATACTCAGGGAGCGTTAGTAGTTCGAGCTGGCAAAAGTGGCTATTTTCGTATAAAAATAACTTTTAAACGTGACTTTTTACAGTAATGTGTTATATACCAAAATTTAAGTAATCTCAAGGGCTATACAGTTTAAAGTTTTAAAGAAAATCGTTAGAGCCGTTTTTGAGAAAAATAAAAAAAAGCTAAAAAAAAAGTTTTAAAAAATTGTCTTTTGTTCATATTTTTTTAACTATTACTTTAACACAAATTACATTTAAGAGGCGTATATAGCATTTAAAAATACCTTTCAAACGAGATGCAGCACAAGTCTGTAGCTTTAGTAGTATAGAAGTTACGGCTTTCCGAATTTTAGCTATTTATAGCTGTTTTCCCGCTAAACTAGCGAGTTTTTCCAAAAGTGGTAGAACAAAAGTTTTTTATATCGATGTGATGAACGTCATATCAAATTTTCAAAACTTAAAAAACATGTTTTGGACAAACTGACAAACTGACAAACAGAATTAAATTTTCATTTTGGGAAGAAGAAGAAAATCTTATTTTGGCTATAACTTTTGAACGGAGCGTCGGATTTTGACAAATGACCCCTCATTCGACGGGTATTTTCAAAAGGAATACAACTAAAACATTGCGAGGGGGAATTTATCCCCACCGGCCCCAACAGCTCCAAATTTCGAAATTTTCACTTTTTCACTTTCACCGCTCTCTCTCCCAAGCCAATTGATTTTCTTAAAGTCTTGGTATGCAATCCTGTTAGTTTTCGCAATACCTTTCGATAGGTGTATCATTCAGTATGATCGGACCATCACAGTAGATTTTCATTTTTTCGTGTATATATAGTAGTCGCCTTCGCACACTCTCCTGGTGCGCTTCGTCACTACATGGACTGCCGTCCATAGTGATGTCGACATTATATTCCTTTTAGGCATACAAAAGTAAAACAAGAGATAACGCTATGGTCGGGTACCCCGACTAAAGGGAGTGCGAGGGAGATGGAGATTTTCTTAAAGTCTTGGTATGCCATCCTGTTAGTTTTCGCAATACCTTTCGATAGGTGTATCATTCAGTATGATCGGACCATCACAGTAGATTTTCATTTTTTCGTGTATATATAGTAGTCGCCTTCGCACACTCTCCTGGTGCGCTTCGTCACTACATGGACTGCCGTCCATAGTGATGTCGACATTATATTCCTTTTAGGCATACAAAAGTAAAACAAGAGATAACGCTATGGTCGGGTACCCCGACTAAAGGGAGTGCGAGGGAGATGGAGATATAAAACTTTGATTGCGTATAACTTTTGAACAAATGGTCCGATTTGAAAAATTTCTTCTTCATTTTAATAGGTATTGATAAAAAAAATTCTGCATTTTTACTTTTCCAAATCTCAAAATGCGCGGGCACCAGACACCTTTTAAAATTGTTTTAAGCGATTGTGGGCGTTAGGGGGGGCATGGCCATCGGGTGAAACAAACTTGCCCTGCGTAGGAAGCCCAAGAATAAGTGTGGGTAATCCCAACTTTCTACGTTTTTTTGCCAGTGTAGTTTCCGAGATCTCAGCGTTCATAGAGACGGACGGACAGACAGACGGACAGACAGACGGTCAAACAGACGGACAGACAGATGGACAGACAGACGGACAGACAGACGGTCAGACAGACGGACAGACAAACATGGCCAAATCGACTCGGCTAGTGATCCAGTTACATACTTTTGCACGAATACAATATACCCTTAAATACTCATTTGACGATTATACGTAAATATAAATTATCTTCTTTTAACAGTCATGTGACGCCATGCTTGGAGACGAAGAGACAAAGGAGCTGTCAAGCCGGAGCTTTGACTTGGTCATAATAGACGGAGCATTCCCAGAGTGCTTTCTGGGATTAATATACCAGTTTAAGGTTCCCTTTATGTACATAAACACTGTTGGCTTTTACACAGGCAGTATCTCGACTGCGGGAAATCCCGTTAGCTACGCTATAACCCCAAACTTTTATTCTCGATTTACTGATACAATGAGTATCTATGAACGGGCAGTTAACACAGCCATGCAGATCGGACAAACACTTTTGCACATGGTAAGTGGTTCGAGGGCTTGTAGCCTTAAATTTACAACGTTTTTATTTTAATTGCAGTATGTTATACATCGGACACATCTTGTGCTGCGAGAGCACCTGGGTGCCGATATACCACATCCTTACGAGATGTCCCGCAATGTGAGCTTTATTTTGCAGAACGGGCACGCAGTTCTTTCTTATCCTAGGGCCTTTAATCCGAATATAGCAGAGGTGGCTTGTATTCACTGTAAACCACCTAAAAAACTTCCCAGGAACCTTGAGGAGTTCATCGGCGCTTCTGGAGTCTCAGGATTTATTTATGTTTCTATGGGCTCTTCCGTAAAAGCTGCAAATATGCCAGAAGCGCTGCGCCAAATTCTTGTGAAAACCTTTGCACGCCTGCCATATCATGTGTTGTGGAAGTATGAAGGTAGTTCCGCAGACATAAAAGACCTTACTTCAAATGTAAAACTTTCACGATGGCTACCGCAACAAGACATTTTGGGCCATCCCAAGCTAAGAGCATTTGTAACCCACGGAGGCTTGCTAAGCATGTTTGAGACGGTATTTCACGGAGTGCCCGTCGTTACAATGCCGGTATTCTGCGATCACGATGTTAACTCAGCTAAGGCTGAGGTGGATGGATATGCCGTTAAGCTAGATCTTCAGACGCTGTCGACCAATCAGCTACACAAGACTATTATGAAAGTTATTCACGATCCTCGCTATAGAAACGCAGCCCGATACCGCCAGAAGCTATTGCTTGATCAACGCTCAACAGCCCTAGACACTGCTGTATATTGGACGGAGTATGTGCTGCGTCACAATGGCGCTTATCATCTACAGACACCCTCACGTAATATGACGTGAGTTTATTCAGAATTCTTAAGTATACCAATATTTATAATTTTTCTCTTTACGCAGTTGGTGGCAATATTATTTACTCGATGTAGTTGCGGTTTATTTAATTTTACTTTACGGCCTGATTTTATTACTAAAGCGTATGGATTTCTTGTCTGAGATGGGACGGAGCCTTCAATTTCTGACGCCTGTAGAAAAAATAAAGTCGAAGAGACTTTAAACTGACCAGCAAAATCACTTTTTCACTAAGAAAATTAAATGTTTAAATGTTATTAAGTTTTTACATTTATATATTACGAAACCACATAGGGGATGCCCCTTATAGTTTATATTTAAAAACACAAAAAAAATCGGTAAGGTTTGTCCTTTGGTTATGCCAAAAAATGTTGGTATCGTAAAGTTCTGATACAATGGCATTGCAATTGAATTAAAAGTTTCTAAAATGGAAATAAAGACCAAATATTTAATATTAAACATAGAGAATTATCAGTGCTAAATAAGTTTTGGTTAAAAGAATTCTTTTAATTTTATATCGTTTTGAAGTTACAGTTAAGAAATGAGGAAGAACCTGAACATTAAAACGCATTTGCCTCGAAACCACGTTTTTTCAACTGGCGATATCTTAAGAACGTCTTGACCGATCGTGTATGTGCTTTAATAAATATGTTCAGCAAGTGTACACTTAAGCAAACGTAATTTGGCCACAGGTTTTTTATACCCGTTACTCGTAGAGTAAAGGGATATATTGTATTTGTTTAAAAGTATGTAACAACTAGAAGGAAGCATTTCCGACCCTATATAGTATATATATTCTTGATCAGGATCACTAGCCAAGTCGATCTAGCCATGTCCGTCTGTCCGTCCGTATGAACGCTGAGATCTTGGAAACTACAAAAGCTAGAAGGTTGAGATTTCCCACACATATTCTTGGGTTTCCTACGCAGCGAAAGTTTATTTCAGCCGAGCGCCAAAAATGTGTCTGTCGCCCACACCTTTAAAGATTTCCGAGAAGTATAAGTGCAATTTTTGTTGTGTATATTTATACCTATCGAAATGTAGAAGATATTTTTCAAATCGGACCATTCATTAAAAAGTTATGCGCTATCAAAAAAATTTCTTATATCCATCTCCCTTGCACTCCCTTTAGCTGAGTGATGGGTATTAGATGGTCGGGACAGCAACCCGACTATAGCGTTCTCTCTTGTTTTTTTTAATTTTTATCTTTTTTAATTTCAATTCAAAGTTGCACGGTAAAAAATACGTTTTTTATATTTTTGAATGTCTTCTGTTGGTAAGCTGTTTCGGTCAGTTGTTTGGATCAGCTCTGTTGCTCATCTGCTTTGGTCAGCTGTTTTTGGCACTTTTAATACACGCTTTTTGAATTCAAAAGCGTTATTAGCAATAGGTCAACTGTCAGAGGAAGCTCAAGAAACTAGGTACAAGGACTTTAAAAAGTAAGGAGAATGTTCTGCGAGGAAAATGGATAAAAGCGGAACCAAGATAATTAAAAAAAAAATGCTCTTAATTACACTCAGAAAAAAAAATTGCTAGATTTAAGAAAACATGGACTACATTGCCTAAAACGGTTATTTAAGGCCACTGTGGACTTAAAAATAGTAAAAATGGCCATAAATATTAAATTTATGGCCATAAACAATACTGAATAAACTTTTTTCACAAAAAATAAGAAAACTAACAAAAAATAATATTTAATATTCGGAGGGAAATTACCATTTGGTACTTATCAAAAGTTGACCCATATAAGTGACGTATACGCAAATACCTTAGCTCCCAAACCCAATATAAAACCTGTATACCCAGATATACCCATTATTCCAATTGTCAATAACATAATAGGATCCCTCCCGCACTTGTCCTGCCTATCTAGAACAGTGTGAAGAACGTAAGTCCAATAGCACTTAAGAACGTCAACGTTCTCAAAAGCAAACTGTTGTTGCCCCGCTCCCAAGCCAGAATCCTGTTTCCTTAAGTCAGCCTTTGACGTCATCCAATGAATTTAAAAATTTATTGAGTCCGCTATGTCAGCCTAATTTTGAAAATACTACTAAGGCCCCTGTGGTAAAACAACCTGCTCCAGATAGACTCTTGGAATTTATTAATAACTTACAAAAGCAGCAAGAGGCTGCTGTAAATGCCCAAGCGGCGGCAATTGAAAAACTACTGGAATGTTTTGATCAAATGATGTCAGTCGTGACGACGACGCTGCAAATGCTACAGAGCGTGATGTCCAAGCACGCCATTGAGTCAACGCGCCGCAATGACTAACTACGAATTAAATATAATAATATGGAACGCTAAAAATGTAGTTAGCAAATCCTTGGAGGTGGAGCACTTCCTCCAGGAACGTAACATTGATATTTTGTTAATCTCAGAGACTCATTTTACCAGCCGTTCATTCTTTCGAATCCATGGATATGCTGTGCACTGCGCCTACCACCCCGATGATAGAAATCGTGGTGGTGCTGCTATCATTATTAAATCGTCCCTGGACTATCACCTGAGCACCACAATAACTGAGCCTCATCTGCAAGCAATTGCTATAAGTTTGGTCACGTCATTTGGAAGAATTTCGTTTAGCGCTGTCTACTGTCCTCCTGGTCATCGTCACTTGTGGCCAGCTGCGGAATTACTGCGCCTTTTCGGCTCTGTGGGTAGCCGCTTTATTATTGGAGGGGATTGGAATGCACACCATAGCTTCTGGGGTTGCAGACGGTCCTGCCCTCGTGGAAACACTCTGCTGTCTGTTGTCTCTAGCTCAACCATGCAGATTCTGGCCACGGGGGGACCCATGCACTTTCCCTGGATTAATAATCATCTTCCGACTTCCATTGATTTTGCAGTGTATAGAGGTATCCCGTGCAGCAACCTTTCCATCTCTGAATGTTCGGGCCTTTCTTCTGATCATATCCCGCTCCTGATATATTTCTCTGTGGCTTAGAAGTTTCAATGCCAGGCTCACTGCTTTGATTGAAGAAAACCCTCCGCTTGTCACTGCGGATGACGTTGATTCGTTTGCTCAGGTTTTGCTAGACAAGAACCATCAAGCCGCCCCTCCTGCGAGAAGTGTACCTATACCGCCGCCAAGGTGGGCTTCTTCGAAACCTGAAATTGCAGTCTTGGCCAGACAAGGTCGTACACTTCCCCGCGTTTGGATCAGGACAAGGCATACCCTGGACTTGGCAATGTGGAAGGCTGCCGTGTCAGAACTTAGAAAAGTCATTCGATTGGCAAAATCTGAATTTTTCGTGAATCATCTCAGTGCCATTGATCCCAAGCAGGATCATGGGTTTGCATTATGGAAATGCACACGAAATCTAAAAAAACAACCTCTTCACAGGTTTTCTCTTAAACGAAGCGATGGCACTTGGGCACAGTGATTCTAAAATAGCAGATGTATTTGCAGATGATCTGGAAAACCGATTTACTCCGTTCGATTTCGCAACTGACCAGGAAGTTCGAGCCACAATTTCTAGGTTTGGACTTTCTTTCGGTCCTCCTGTTGTTGTGCGACCAGTGGATGAGGAAGAGGTCCGTGATCATATTAAACGATTGGTCCCAACAAAAGCTCCTGGTATGGATAAGGTCGATGGTAAAGTTGCAAAGTCACTTCCCAACTCTGTCATTGCACAGCTCTGCCTTCTCTTAAATGCGTCACTCAACCTTGGCCATTTTCCATCACCTTGGAAAAGTGCTCTAGTTACAATGGTCCCCAAAAAGGGCAAAGATCCGTGCTCCCCTGAGTCCTACAGGCCAATAAATCTCCTGTCCACGTTTTCCAAGATTTTTGAGCGGATCGTATTTAACAGGCTTATGAATATTGACACCTTTAATGACGCTCTACCAAACCATCAATTTGGTTTCCGTTGTCACCAATCCGCTGCCGAACAGGTTCACAGAGTCGTGAACCACATTCTAGATGCCTTAGAAGGTCATAAATATTGCTCGGCTGTTTTTCTTGATGTCAGACAGGCTTTTGACAGGGTTTGGCATGAAGGTCTATTCTATAAATTAATTCCACTACTGCCTGAGGGACTCTGGAAGCTCATTGTGTCATTTCTGGACCATAGGATGTTTGCCGTTGACATTCGTGGACATCTTTCTTGACTACGTTTAATTCGTGCTGGTGTCCCACAGGGATACGTCCTTGGCCCGGTTCTGTACACAATTTACACTTCCGATCTCCCAAACCCAGTGGTTCGTGGTATTCTCCTTGCCACCTATGCAGATGATACTGCATTCGTAGCTACTGGCAGCACCCCCTCCTCGGCCTCGTGGCGCGTCCAGACATTTTTGAACGAGTTTGAATGTTGGGCGTCGTTGGAATATTGCGCTAAACGTTGATAAAACGCAACACGCCACCTTTGCCCTTCGACCTGGCCGATCCCGCAGTCTTTACTTGGATGGTGATAGACTTAAGCACGAGCAGAGAGTAACATACCTCGGTGTTACCTTAGACCGCCGTCTATGCTGGAAGGGTCAGATTGACCGTGTCTGTGGGTCAGCGAGGACGAAACTGGACAAAATGGACTGCTACTTCGCTCAGATAGCGGATTATCCCTTCAGGCCAAGGTGCGGCTCTTTAAAGCCATTGTTCTCCCGACCCTAAATTGGGGAATAACATGCTGGGGCACCGCTTGCGACACGGCGCTAAGAAGGGTTCAGACTTGCATCACAAAAGCATTACGGAGGATGCTTGGGGTGAAGTGGCATCATTACGTTGAAAATAACGTTTTATTTCGAGACACAGGAGTACCAACAGTGACTGAGATGATAACTCAGTTCTCGAATCGATACAGGGATCGGCTTCTGGTGCATTCTAACCGCCTGGCTAGACGTCTTGCCACACCACTGGGCCGACGTCGTCTCCGCAGACGACACTCGGCGGACTTATGGATTCTCGGCCGTGATAGACACGGGCGATCTTTTTCTCAAGTTTGTAAGTTATTTGATTTTTATATTCATAATTTGTTAATTATACAATAAATGCAGTTATTATTTCATATAAAATCTGTAACTAAAAGTTGTTTATATACGAACATAGTGACGTGTGTTTAAATAAACGAGAGAAAAATAAGTTGACAAACAACAGGAACCAACAACAACACCGACTGACAGGAGAGGGTGCAACAGGAATAATTCCCGATTCCCCTGTTTGGACTGTATATTGTTAACACGAGAACTTGCAGTGTAACTGACGTCACACTGTAAGCTCTCTAGTTACAGACATTCTTCTTTGCCCTTTATTCGTAGTCTTGTTCGAAAGATCGAACCATATCACAGTTAATTTGTTCATATGCACATACATAATTTGGTGAGCTGCAGCTTCGGTGAAATGAAATGTAAAGCCGACAATTTAGTCTGCGAGCGACAGTCAATATATTCAGAAGCACCCTCTGTGCTCTTCTCTTTTATATTTCCTTACATAACCTAACATAACCTTACATAACATTTTTGGAACCTTTCGACTTCTTATTTGGGACCCTGGGAAACAGACCGCTACTCCGAGGAACTTCTAAAGCCGCCACAGGTGGATAATCACTCTGTGCGCCGCATCATATTTTGCTGAAGATTGGGGCTCCGTCGGTACGCAGCCACAGCCAACACATCTTGGTGCCGAAACCCGGGAAGACTTCTCTTGGACTGAGTGGAATATCTGTGGGTCACGACTTGGACTA